GATAAGCATTGGACAGTGAACCACAAGGTCATTGGTTTCAGCCTGCCAGTCACTCTGTGGAAGAAAGATGAAGCTATCTGCTCCTGCTAAGATTTTTAAAAAGCTTCAGAAACCCTATACAGGGTTGTTGTAAGTCAGATCCAACTTGATGACACTTAACAACATGGCTAGAAGAGACATTCATTACACTGCAGACCATTCCCTGGTTCATCTAGCCATATGCATATTAATGAGTCCAGAAGTGGTAAAGGGAAGGTTGAACTTGGGAGTCTTGGAAAGGGTTGTAGGATTTGTTGTTGTTGTTGTTAAGTGCCGTCCAGTCGATTCCAACCCATAGCGACCCTGTACAGGGTTTCCGAGGCTGTAAATCTTTACCAGAGCAGAACGCCTCATCTTTCTCCCGCAGAGCGGCTGGTAGTTTCGAACTGCTGGCCTTAAGGTTCACAGCCCGATTTGTAACCACTATGCTACCAGAGTAGGATTAGAGCTATACATTTATCTGATTACACTATGGGAGATGAATGTTTCTCCTACCTAGTATTGTAAAATAGACCTCTCTGTGTCATGGAAATTAATATGGCTGTAATAGCCATGTTAATTTCCATCACACAGAGAGAGAAGTCTATTTTACAATACTAGGTAAGAGAAACTTTCAACTTCATGATTATAGAGTCCTGGTGCGACGCTGTGGGTTAATGTGCTAGACTGTAAAGCCATTTGAACTGCAAGGTCCAAAGTTCAAGCTACCAGCTGCTCTTCGGCAACCCTATATAGGTCGTTATGTGTCGGAGTCCTCTTGACAGCACCTAACAACAACAACAACATGATTATAATGAATTTGTAAGCCTGTCTTAAGCCTATACCTGATTGGCTTTGCTTAAAGGGGAGTTAGGAATTACCCAGTATGAACAGGCTTTATTTTAAACTAGTAGCACTGTAGGATGAGCATCTGACTGCTAACCATGAGGCTGGCAGTTCAAAACCACCAGTCACTCAGAAATCCTATGCAGGGTCACTATGCGTAGGAACCTACTCGATGGTACTTTAAAAACAATCACAAGTAGCCTGTATGAAAAGTAGCACTGGTGGGCAGTAGGTACAGGTTGGGCTGCTAACTGTAAGATCAGCAGTTAGAATCCTCCAGTCACTCTGCAAAAGAAAGATTTATAGCCTCAGAAACAACTTAAAGGTCACTATGAGTCTGAACTAACGTGAGGATACCCAGTAGCAGGAACAACCTGTATAAAGAGTATGTATGCTTAGGTGGAAACTTGATTTCAGCCCAGAACCCTCAGTACCAGAAAACTGGCATCTGAAAAGACATGCAGACCCACACAAAGCAAACAGATTTATTTTTAGAGAAAAGACCTGCAAAAAGAAAAATGACTGAATTTCAAGCAAGCTGTTTGCCACTGGGTTCGTATAGTGGCAGGAAAAGTCTCCCCATCAGAGAAAACACTATTTTAGGACTGAAAGTTAAAAGGAGCTTGTTAATCAGACAGTCTAGAACGCTTGTTGGTGATGGCCTGGGTCCACTTGATAAGTAGGCATGGGGAAGAATGCAGCTATGAAGAGAGGAAGAAGAAGGGCTGGCTGGTCTTAAGTTTAGGAAGTTATGTGGACTCCTGTTTCCATGGGCACTGACCTAGCCCATGGGAACTTGGGTTGAGAGAGAGTGAGTGAAGGGGCCAGTTGGTCTGAAGCACATGGAAGTATGTGTGGACTTTCAAGGTTACAGCTGGTATCCATTTGACCTAGCTAAGATAGCCAAGGCCAAACCGACCAGACCCCAGCTGAATGAAGAAAGAGATATTTGATACTATGAGCTGGTATAGATAGCTGAAATTTTGATGGCTTGTTGTGGATCAGACTTTGCATATGGATGCAGATGCCCAAAGTTCCAACAGGTACAGAAGATTATTCACCTCAAAGACCATGCAAGTCTTCTCAAGGTTTGAGTTGATATCCAAACCCACTGCCATCAGTTAATTCCAACTATATGTACAGTTTCCAAGGCTGTAAATCTTCATGGGAGGAGCAAGCCTCCTTTTTTTCCACATAACAACTGGTAGATTCAAACTGCTGACTTTGCAGTTAGCAGCCCAATGCATAACCCACTAAGCCACCAGGGCTCTTTAGTAGGTTAATTGTTGTTGTTGTTCAGTGTTAAGTCGAGTCAGTTCTGACTCACAGCAATCCCGTATTACGGTTTCTGAGGAGTGGCTGGTGGGTTTGAATTTGTGGTTAGCAGTCCAGTGCTTATTCTACAGTGTCACACCAGGTCTCCAGTGGTTAATAGTTGTTGTTGTTAAGTGCCATCAAATTGGTTCCAACCCATAACGACCCTGTATAGGGTTTCCAAGGAGTGACTGGTGAGCTTGAACCACCGACCTTGTAGTTCAAACGACTTTTCAGTCTGGCACATTAACTCACAGTGCCACACCAGTAGTTAATAGGAATGGGCAATTTAAAAATTGGAAGTCTGAAATAGAGATAAAGGCTTAAATTAGTTGGTTTGAAAAGCAAGGTTGGCAGTTCAAGCTCACCAGCTGCTCCTTGGAAATCCTTGACAGGGTGACTATGGTTGGGAACCAACTTGACAGCACTTAACAACAAAGGCTTAAATTGGCTGGTTTATAAATTTTTATGGCTATGTATACAATTGACATCATTGTTATTGGGAAAGTTAATCCATTATATATGAAAGAGACAATCACTAGAAAAAGAGTCCAGGGATGGTCTGTGGTATGTTGAATTATTTAATGTCTCTTCTAGCCATAGTTTTTAAAAATCCCCACCAACTTTTTTTTATGATTGGTCTGGCCGATCATAAAAAAAGTGGGGGAAGATCTGATGGATTATGATTGATTCAGTTGTAAGTGATTGTTAACAGGGTTAATGATGATCGTAAAAAGTTGGAATCTAACGTGTAAAATGAGCTATCTCAGAAGCAGCCATTAAAGAAAAGTCATGAATGGAGCGTGTCCTTTGGACTGAGCGATCACTGTGCATTAAATCTTGACCCAAGGACAAAGTACTGTGATATTTTGTGATACTGCAGAGGAGCCGCTGCAGCAAAACCAAGAGACAGAGAGCATAAGCCAGAGCAGAGGGCTTCCCAACCCACAGAGCAAGTACAGATTGAGTGATTGTGGGCAGGCTTGTTTTCAGAGTGAGGTGCCTCCAGGCATTTAGTTGGTGGAGCTAAGTTTGCTGATCCACAGAACTACAGCTGAGTGACTTCAGGCTGAGATTTATGATGGAATAGTATGCCCTGTGGGCATTTATCAGCAGCCCTCAAAGGGCTTTGTAATACTGCAGGAACAGGCCTGAGAGGTTTACTGACTGAAAGAACATTGCATTGAACGTTTTCTGGTCCTGCCTTGTAACTTGTTAACTTCCCTAACAAACCCCAGAACTGTAAACATGATGTCTGAGTGGTCACTGCCATGAATTATTGAACCCAGCTGAGTAAAGAGTGCTATTGGAGGGATGGTTGGTGGCATTTTTTGCACTATTTCATCGTGTTATTGTTGTTAAGTGCTGTTGAGTCAGGTCTGACTCATAGCAACCGTGAAAGTAAAATTCATGAGCATATAAGCACTATTGATTTTCATCCACTGGAACCTCATCTAATTCCATCTTTTTTTAAAATTAGTACTCTCTGTATGTTGGACAATGAATACGGAAGACTGTAGAAGAATCATTGTATTTGAGTTATGGTGTTGGAGACGAATATTAAAGGTACCATGGTTTACTAGAAAATAAAACAAATAAACAACTATGTATTGGAAGAAATACAACCAGAAGGCTCCTTAGAAGGCAAGATGCCCAGACTTTGTCGCTCATACTTTGGACATATTATCACAAGTTACCGATCCCTGGAGAAGGACATCATGCTTGGTAAAGTGGAGGGACAGAGAAAAAGAGAGAAATCCCCCAGCAAGATGGATTGGCAGTGTGGAACAACAATGGACTCAAGGGTAGCAGCAATTGTGAGGATGGCACAGGACCAGGCAGTGTTTCGTTCTGTTGTACACAAGAGTTGCTCTGAATTGGAACCAACTCAACAACACTTTAACAACAACAAATCTTCACAGAAACTGTCATATCTACTCTGGAGATTCTGAAATCACTGACCTTTCAGTTAGCAGCCAAGCGCTTACCCACTGCACCACCAGGACCCTATAATCTTCTGTTTACCACTTACTAACACAATAACTGTGATTTATAGCATTCTTATATATAATGATGAAGAGATTCATCTGTAAACATCATTATAAAGTTAGGTACTCTACAAGAGGGAAAAAAACAAAACCCCAAAACTGCCATTGAGTGGATTTCAGGGTAGAAACTGCTCATGGGGTTTCAAAGGAGGCTGCAAATCTTTATGGAAGCTGACTGCCTCGTCTCCCCACCCTGGGCACCAATGAGTTTAGCCATTGCGCAGCCAGTGCCCCTTCTCTACAGGAGAAATACCCAGATATTCACCTACCAAAAACAAACCTAATAAGTCTGACTTATACCCAAGAATGTTATTAAAAATTCTAGTAGATTCTGCAAAAGCATTGCAGAAGCAACCAAAATACCACGAAGGTGAGGTGCCTGGTTGCAGACTATGAATGAATTTCAAACAATTTCCAAAGGCAACACTGTGAAAGCTGAGCTATATAGCCAGTGAAGCTGACTCCAAACTTAAGAGGTATGGTGAGCCTTGTTCTCCAGGAGATGCAAGGGCACAGAAACTACAAACTCGAGGTTGTGAAGACAATACAGCTTTTTAAAGATCCACACTGTGTATCTCTACCAGGGCTTCAGAGCAGTTGGTTCCAGAATGACCCTAGAGAGGAATCGCTGTCAAGAAGTCTTTGGGAATTAATTGCTCCTGCCTGATTCAAACCACCAGTTCAAGAGGATAAAAACGGCCTTTTGAGAAAAAGGCTCTCTTCTCCTTAGGGGGTAGAGTCACGCAATTCTGCCACCCAATCTGACCCACTCACCGGGTCAACCGGGCTGCAAAGCCTTCAAAGTTGGGAACAAGAGTCCGGGACCCGGCACAGTCCAACAAATCGCTAGGTGGCCATCTGCTTTTGAGACCGTTGCTAGGGAAACGAAGAGAGACTCCGGCTTCACCCCATGGTTTTCCCTGGGCAGTCCTAGATGTTTCGGGGGCGTGGTTGTGTGAGTGACGCACGGAAGAGGAGGGTCAAAGGCGAAATAGACCTGTAACTAAGAAACAGATTACACTCCAGAGCGCATGCGTGAGGTGCTATGGCGCGGGTTCCCTGGAAGTCATTGGACAGCAGTGGAGGAAGTGAGCTATGGCAGCCGCAAGGATCCCTGCAGATGTAGCGCTGCGAGAATCCACCCTGCAAAAGTTGCGGATGTTTTCAGAGTTGAGAGGTACCAAAAGAGGAGTTAAAAGCTTTCCTGGGCAGTGGAGAAGAAGGGTGCTAACTCATTTGGAGATTTTTCTGAATTTACTACCCTGTCACCTGCGGGCCTAGGACGCTGGCCCAGGAGTAGCGAGTATTTCTATTGAATTTTTATTGTAACACTGTACCTTATTTAAGTTACTTCTTTTTAATTTTATTACTTCTTTTCTTTAGTTTTATTCCTAGTAAGACAGATCTCAAAATTAAATAAGGAGGAAGTGGGAGGGGGACTATTAATCTGAATAGTGAAAGTGGAAATCCGGGTTATCCGTTTCATTCGCAAAACTTACTTCAAATATAAAAGTTCAGAGGCATAATGTTTGACTCATACAAATAAATCTAATTTTTGCCTTTCCTGTTCCTGCAGCTGTTTGACCAGTTTGTTCTGAAATGTAATCGTTTAGAGGATGGTTGTTAATTGCCCACAAGTGGGTTCCAATTCATAGCCACACTGTTTAGGGTATCCAAGAAGCGGCTGGTGAGTTTGAACCGCTGACCTTGCTGTTCAGACTAACCTTGCAGTCCAATGCTTTATCGCACAGCACCACACCAGAACTCCTTATACAGTGCCGTTGTTGTTGTTACGTGCCGTCGAGTCAGTTCCGACCCATAGCAACCTTGTATAGGTTCCCGAGAAGCAGCTGGTGAGTTTGAACCGCCGACCTTATGGTTCAAACTGACATTGCATTCCAGAGCATTAACCCAGCAGTGCCACACACGAATGGGAGCAAAATATCACAGAGGAATGATAGATCCAAAAATAAAAAGTTTCTATTTAAAAAGAGCTCTACTACTTGTCATTTCTTGTACAATATTTAATAAAAGTTGGTTATATTGTTAATACAATGACTGATTGAAAAATTACAGGGACTGACACTTGGAAGGCAGGAACTAGTTCAAAACTATTAGATTCTAGTTGACAAGTCCTATTTGTTAAATAATAACTCTTAATGCTTCTGATTTCTCAATAAATAAGAACATCTGACTGTGTACCAGAAGTACTGTCTGTCTATTAAGTTTTTATCTAGAGTGGTATTTCAAATTCAACAGCATTTGTAAGCTTGAATAGTTCAAAGTAAGGTAAGGGGAAAAAGAAGTACCCACATTTATTTACTGCAACACTGAAGGAATAGATCCCTGGGATGGATCTTTCTTAACCAACAAATGTTAAATGGGCATTATATATTGAAGTTGATTTTCAAATCTGAAGATTCATTTAGTCTTTTGCCCCCTCTTACTATTTAAGAATTTTAGTAGTAGTCTTAAGTCAATTACCTCTCTTAATCAACAAACATCACTTCTTTCTGAATTTCTGAATAAATGAGATTTATACCCTCAAGGTCAGCAGTTTGAAACTACGGCTTTCTATTCCTGTAAAGATTTGCAGCCTTGGAAACCCTGTGCAGGGTCACTATGAGTTGGAACCGACTCCATGGTACTTAACAACAACAACAACATACCCTAAAAAGAGAAAATAATCTAAGAGTAACACTTGTGGATAATCGTCATTAGAGTTATTTTGATCATACCTAAAACCCATTGCCATTTGGTTGATTTCTACTCATGGCAACAGCATTTGTGTCAGAGTAAAACTGTGTTTCATGTGGTTTTCAGTGGTATTAATCTTATGGAAATGTATTGCCAGGTTTGGAGTGTTATTTGTTTTTTTTTTTTACCCCTGGCACTGCTGGATTGATTCAAATAGCCAAACTTGGTAAACATTGGCACTCCAACCACTTACAGCACCCAGGAACCTTTGATAAATACTTGTTAGTTGTCTTTTAGTCAATTCTGATTGTTGGCAACCCCAGTGTGCACAGAAGTACTCCATAGGATTTTCACGGTGGTGACATTTTGGAAGCAGATCACCAGCCCTGTTTTTGGAGACAACTTATGGTGTATTTGGTCTACCAGTCTTTTGGCTAGTAGTTGACTGTATAACATTTGCAACAACTAGGGACTTCTTGATCATAGTTATTGACCACTAATTATTTATTATTTCTCAAAATCAAAAAGATTTCCTTTCTTTTCAAATAGGCAAACTTGTAACCGCTGGATAATTCTAAATGTATTTATTATTTCTTGCCTTTTTCAAATAGGCAAACCTGTGGCACCTGGAGAATTCTGGGACATTGTTGCAATAACAGCTGCTGATGAACAACAGGAACTTGCTTATAAGCAACAATTATCAGAAAAGCTGAGCAGTAAACAGTTACCCCTTGGAGTTAAATATCATGTTTTTGCTGATCCTCCTGGAGCCAAAATTGGTATGCATTTTACCATCAGCTTTTTAACAGTTTCTGGGCAGACCAGTCATTGAAGAAAAGTGTTTCTATACCTTACAGTTAATAATAAACTCTGTATCCTTCTGTATTTGTTAAGTACCATCAAGTAGATTCAGACTGATAGCGACCCTGTACAGGGTTTCTGAAGAGTGACTGGTGGGTTTGAACTATCAACCTCAGGGTTAGTAGTCAAGTGCTTATCTCACAATGCTGTAATTTGTTGTTGTTAAGTGCTGTCGAGTCTGTTCCAACCAATAGCAACCCTGTATAGGGTTTCCGTGAAGCAACTCTTGAGCTTGAACCCCAGACCTTTGGGTTTATAGCAACTTTGTAGTTCAGCACACTAACCCACAGTGCACACCAGGACTCTTGTGCTGTACATAGCTGCTACTCATATATTAAAATTTAAATTGATTCTTTCTTTAGAGAGGAAAAAAAAAAGCATAACAACTCTTCTTACACCTTGTTGAATTGTAGTGAAAACTTCCAGAATGTTATTTAAAAGAGAATTTTATTAGTTTTAGTGACATTTACTTTACTCAGATGGTAAATATTCCTTTGGACCTTAAGAGTAGGGCTCTTAAGGTCCCTCTTCACCTTAAAGTTTCTTAAGAAATTTATGTGAATGAAGCAAAATAAAGAAAATATATACTTGGGCTCTTGGGACTACAATGAAGATTGCAAAAAGGCACAGTATTATGGATTAGGAATCATAGAATATTTACTTTAAAACACCAGATATGATCAGTTTCTTTCTTTGTCCTTCCATTGCAAATAAAATACTTGATACTTTCCCTGAGGACAGTTTTTCATGTGATACTTAAGCCTGAAGCTCCTTGATACAGGAAATACTGAACCTGTGTTTCACATTGGCATTGTTGTTCTAATTATGCAACACTGTTTTATCCTCACAACTGTAAGCTTAATACTCTTATCATTACCATCATATAGATGAGAAACTATATAACTTAAAGTTGAGTAATTTGTCCAAAGAAACTCGTTAGTCATAGTTATATTTAAGATGTTTGATGATGGTGGTTATGTGCCGTGGAGTCACTATGAATGTTCCGATTCATAGTGACCCTGTACAGGCTTTCCGAGGTTGAAGATCTTTACGGGAACAGAAAGCCTCATCTTTCTCTCATGGAACATCTGCTAGTTTCGAACTGCTGACCTTGCGATTTGCATCCCAATTCATAACCACTACTAGGAAAACCAAAATTCAAACTTCCTGATCAAGTTGATTCTGACTCATAGTGACCCTGTATAGGAATGCACATAGTGACCCTGTATAGGAATGTATAGGAAGGCTGTAAATCTTAATGGGAGCAGACAGCTTCATTTGTCACCTGTGGAGAAAGATGGTTAGCAATCTAGTGCTTATCCTATAGTGCCTCCAGGGCTCCTTATTTTTTAAGAAACTGGGTCCTAAACAACTTTTTCTTTATATGTCTACATAGAAGAAAATGGGGAAAGGTACTGATGGATTATGTGATTCAGTGTGATTGTTAAAAGACTAATTGTGATTGGTCAGTTTGCCATCCTGTTGGGTATAAAATAAGCCATCTCGGAAGAAGAAGAGATAGAAGTGGAACATGTCTTTTGGACCCTGAAATCCAACTTGCATTGAACTTCCTAAACCAGGGTCAGGATGTGCATTGAACTTCCTAAACCCAGGGTCAGGATGCTCTGTATTTCAGAGGAGTAGCAGAGAAGCAGTAACAGCAGTACCAAGAGCCAGAGCACCAGAGAGAGCAGTAAACTTCCCAGTCCATGGATCGAGTAAAGCTGATGGCAGGAGGCTCATTTGTGGAGTAGGGTGCCTCTGGACACTTAATTGGGGATCTAAGTTAGCTGACCCATAGAAGCTAGACCTGAGCACTTAAGAGTGCTCTTTAGGCATTTATTGTTAGATGCTATCAAGTTGGTTCTGACACATAGCAACCCTTTGCACAACAGAACAAAACACTTCCCGATCCTGTGCCATTCTCACAGTCATCACATAGGAACCATTGCTGCTACCACTGTCAGTCCATTTTGTTGGGGGTCTATTAGCAGCCCTAAAAGAGCTTTGGAACATTACCTATTAGGGCCGACATCAGGCCATGGTTTTGAGAACCTAGGAAAGAGATCTGCCTCTGAATATGACAGAGTAGAGGTGGTCCTAACTGGAAGAACTGTGTCCAAAACACCTTTCACTTTTGACCCTGAGTTGTAACCATTAACTTCCCTAATAATCCCCATTAGTGTGAGTATGGTGTCTGAGTTCTATGTGACCATTACAATCAGTTACTAAAGCTAGTGGAGCAGAAAGTGCTGTGGGAGGGATGGTTGGTGCCATTTGTGCAGTGAAATCTAACTTGAATATATGATAATGTCATATGAAAGAAGTGTTTAAAAAGTTTTGTGATGTGTAACTCCCCGTGACTTTTATTTGCATGCTCTAGTAATGCAGATTGGTTAATTTATCATTTCTTCTTTGTTTAATTACTATTCTCAGGAGAGTTTTAGTTCATTATTTATTGCTGAGGACTGATTTTTGGGTTTTATTGTTAATTGTTTATTTGTAATGAGATGTAAATAATGTGCTTCATTTGCCAATACCTTTGCTGTATTCTTGTCTAGCTAATGATAGTCAAAAGACATGTCGTTGGAGTTATAAAAACATAAACCTTACATAATTATGAAGTTTTTTTAGGTTTCCATTAAATAAATTGTAGTTTTAAACTTTATTTTTAAGGAAATGGAGGATCAACACTTTGTGCCCTTCAGTGTTTGGAAAAGCTATATGGAGATAAATGGAATTCTTTTACCATCCTATTAATTCACTCTGGTAAATTATTCTTTACTAATTTACGTTTTCTTCTGAGTATTTCACCATTGATACACTAGAGACTTTTTCTTTAGTCTTTTAAGTTGTTTTGCTTTGAAAACAAATGTGTCATGCTTTTCTTGGTATGATTAGGTTTTGAGCAGAATTATCTTCCTAAAATTTAAATGTCCTTAAAATTGTGGATCATATACACTTTCAACTTTTTAATGCAGGTTGCTTTGGGTATGTATATAGAAAATTATTTTCTTAAAACAGAATCCATAAATTGTGGCGATTTCTTGGAAATGTTTTAGAGGGCATTGTTAGTATAAAGAAGATCTTAGTTTATCTCTTTAATGACCAAACTTTTGTCAAAATTTGCTATCTTGCACTTTTTGTCTTATCATTGATAGCCAAAAGGTATATCCCTTAAAGAGTTTTTAGAAATAAAACACAAAGTTTTAAAAATGAAAACATGGTTACAAAGCACAGACTTGACAGTAAGTATATAAGGGAGAAAACAAGCACAGGAAACAATATTTTAAAGCAAAAGTGGGAAAGATATGCTCAGAATCAATGATAGTCTTTGAATTGAATAAGTTTAGTTGTATGGCAAGTTTGGTTATATGCAAAGATCTTATTTTTTACTACATACTGGGGAGGCTCATGACATTTTATTATTACTGTCACCAGTCCAGGGACAGAGATTTGAGAATCATAATTAACGTGGCTTCCAAGGTATTTTCTAATTCTTCCAATCCATATTTGTTACAGAGAAATCTTTATGAAGATGATGTCAAACTATAATATATCAGCTTTAATTTTAAGATAAAATTAAAAAGGATAAAAACTGAATGTATAGTTTTATTCCAGAAAAAAGTATTATTACCAGTTTAGTAAAATTTAAATTGAATACCAGGAAATTTACAATTAGAATTAGATAATTTTTATAATGCTAAATTTTATTGTTGACTAGTTTTTTAAGTAAGAAAAATTGAATGTCATAATTAGCTTTCTTTTGTTGAACAATATAGTATGTGCTAAGTGTTTTTTATATGACAGTAAGTCAAAAAAGTATTATTACAAAATTTTAAAAAGGTTTATTAAACCAAAATTATCAAAATGAGATGATACTGTTTCTTGACATATCCTCCATTAATAGTTTTTCTGTGTCTAACACTTTCCCAAAAAATTCTTACCTCTTCAGTTTACACCATGTAAAAACCACAGTTTTGGCATCCTCAAGTGACTCAAGTTTTGTTCTTTTTAAATATCCTTTGAGTTTTGGGGAGAAACATAAGTGATAAGGGGCAAGATCAGGGCTGTAGGGTGGATGGGCTAAGGTTTTTCATAAAAAGTCTCATAAACTAGTCCAAGCTGAGTGGGGAGGTACATTGTCATGATAGAAAAAAAAAAAAAAAAAAAATCTTCAGTATAACATTTCAGATTGTTTTCTCACCATTGCAGTTTTCAGTTTCTTTAAAAACGTCTTCATAACGTAGTTAAGTTTCGTCAAATCAGTACCAACTCATAGCTACCTTATACACAACACAATGAACCACCAATGGGTCCTCGCCCAATTTCACAATTGTTGTTACACTTGAGCTGATTGATATTGCCCCTGTGCCAGTCCATCTCTTTTGGGGTCTTCCATTTTTTCGCCGACCCTCCACTTTACCAAGCATGATGTGTCCCTCCTGATAATATGTCCAAAGTATGAGAGATGAAGTCTGGCCATCCTGGATCCTAAGGAGCATTCTGTTTATACTTCTTCCAACATAAATTTGTTTGTTCTTCTGTCAGCCAATGATAATTGTAATATTCTAGCACCAAAACCATAACTCAAACGCACTAGTTCTTCTACAATCTTCTTTATTCATTGTCAGACTTTCACAAGCAGAGGAGGCTATTGAAAATACCATGGCTTGGGTCAGATGTACCTTAGTCCTCAAACTGACCTCTTTGCTCTTGAACACTTTAAAGAGGTGTTGTGCAACAGATTTGCCTAATGCAGTATATCATTTGATTTCTTGACTGTTGCTTTACATGTGTGTTAATGGTTGATGCCAGCAAAATAAAGTCTTTATCAACTTCCTTCTTTTCTCCAATTATCTTGATTTTATTTACTGGTCCAATTGTGATGATTTTTGTTTTCTTTATATTGAGGTGTAAACCATACTGATGACTGTGGTCTTTGATCTTCATCAATAAGTAAAGTTGTATCATCTGCATATTTCAGTTTGTAAATGAGTCTTACTCCAATCCTGATGCCACATTTTTCTTCATAGAACCCAGCTTCTTGTATTATTTGCTCAGCATACAGGTTGAATAAATATAAAAGAATACAACCCTGCTGCATGCCTTTCATAATTTTAAACCATATAGTATTTCCTTGTTCCATTCGGACAACTGCTTCTTGGTGTATATATAGGTTCCTGGTGGGCACAATTAAGTGTTCTGGAATATTCAAGCAGTGTTGTCCATGAATTGTCATGATCTGTACAAATGAAAGCCATTAAATATGCAATAAAGCACAGGTAAACATCTTTCTGGCATTTTCTGCTTTTAGTCAAGGTCCATCTGATGTCAACAATGATATCTCTAGTTGCACATCCTCTTCTGAATCCGGCTTGAACCTCTGGAAGTTCTTTGTCAATGTATTGCTGCAGCTGTTTTTGTATTGGCTTTAGCTGATTTTACTTGCAATACGATATTAATGATTATGTTCAATGATTCCCACATTCCGATGGGTCACCCCTCTGGAACGGGCAAAAATATAGACCTCTTCCTATCAGTTGGCCAGGTGACTGTCTTCCAGATTTCTTGGCACAGGTGAGTGAGTGCCTCCAGTGCTACATCAGTTTGTTGAAAGATTTCCATTTGTATTCAATCAATCCCCAGAGTCTTGTTCTTTGCCACTGCTTTTAATGCACTTTAGAATTCTTCCTTCATTATCATTAGCACTTGATCTTATGCTACCTCTTGAAATGGTTGAACATCAACCATTTCTTATGGTACAGTAATTCTATGTATTCCTTCCATTGTCATTTGATGCTTTCTGCATCTTTCAATATTTTGTCCATTGTTGTTGTTAAGTGCCGTTGAGTCAGTTCTCTCTCATAGAGACCCTGTATAGGATTTCCAACAAGCAGCTAGTGAGTTCGAACAGCAGCCTTGCGGTTTGAACAGACCTTATGGTCGAGTGCTTATCCGACATTGCAAATCAAAGCTTAAATTTTTCTTCAGTTCTTTCGGCTTGAGGAATGCTGAGGACGTTCTTCACTTTTGGTGTTCTAACTCCTGGTTTTGCACATTTCATTATAATATTTGACTTAGTCTACTCAAGCGGACCTTTGAAAATTTCTATTCAGCTCTTTTACCTCCACATTTCTTCCCTTTGTTTTAGCTTGTCTATGCTGGAGAGCCACATTTTTCTTCATATAACCCAGCTTCTTGGATTATTTGCTCAGCATACAGGTTGAATAAAAATGGTAAAAAGAATACAACCTTGTCGCACACGTTTCTTAATTTTAAACCATTCAGTGTTCCCATGTTCTGTTCAAACAACTGCCTCTTGATCCAGGTACACATTCCTCATGAGCACAATCAAGTGTTCCGTAATACTCATACTTCGCAGTGTTATCCATAGCTTGTCATGATCCACATAATCGAAAGCCTTTGCATAGTCAATAAAGCGCAGGTAAACATCTTTCTGATATTCTCTGCTTTCAGCCGAGATCCATCGGACATCAGCAGTGATATCCCTCATTCCACGGCCTCTTCTGAATCCAGCTTGAACCTCTGGAAGTTCTCTGTCAATGTATGCTTGTAACTGTTTTTGTATTACCTTTAGCAAGACTTTACTTGCATGGGATATCAAAGAGATTGTCTGATGATTTCCACATTCCATTGGGTCACCTCTCTATGGAATGGGCACAAATAGGGATCTCTTCTATCAGTTGGCCAAATAGTTGTCTTCCAGATTTCTTGGTATAGATGAGTGAGTGCCTCCTGTGCCGCCTCACTTAAGACTCATTAACAACTTGTGATATGCAGGTGATATAACCTTGCTTGCTAAAAGTGAAGAGGACTTAAAACATTTACTGATGCAAAGAGCACAGCCTTCGGTATGGATTACATCTTAATGTAAAGAAAACAGAAATCTTCACTACTGGACCAATAAACAGCTTTCTTATCAACGGAGAAAACATTGAAATTGTCAAGGACTTCATTCTTCCTGGATCAGCTATCAATACTCAAGAAAGCAGCAGTCAAGAGATCAGATGACGTATTGCATTAGGCAGATCTGCTGCACAAGACCTTTTTAAAGTGTTGAGCAAAGATGTCAGCTTGAGGACTAAGGTGTGCCTTACCCAAGCCATGGTATTTTCAATAACCTCATATGCATGTGAAAGCTGGAAAGAATAAGGAAGACCGTAGAAGAATTGATGCTTTTGAGTTATAGTGTTGGAGGAGAATATTGAAAGTGCCATGGGCTGCCAAAAAAACCAATAGATCCATTTTGGAAGAATTGCAGCCAGAATGCTCTTTGGAGGCCAAGATGGCCAAACTTCGTCTCTCATACTTCAGACATATTGTCAGGAGGGAGCAGTCACTGGGGAAAGATATCATGTTTGATAAGATGGAGGAAAAGAGGAAGACCCCCAACGAGATGGATTGACCAAGTGGCAGCATCGATGGACTCAAGCGTGGCAACAGTGGTAAGGTTGGCGCAGGATTGGGCAGTGTTTCGTTCTGCTGTGCATCAGGTCTCTATGGGTCAGTTCAGACTCAGTGGCACCTAACAACAACAACAAATGATGGAGAGCAGGTTTCAGAGTCTCTTCTGACATCCATTTTGGTCTTTTCTTTCTTTCTTGTCTTAATGACTTTTTGCTTTCTTTCTGTATTTTGTTCTTGATGTCATTCCTCAACTCTTTTGATTTTCAGTCATTTGTATCTCATTCGTCAAATCTGTCCTTAAGATCTCTAAATTCAATTTGGATTTGTTCAAGGTCATATATTGACTCCTGTGTTCTTGTTTTTAATTTTCTTCAGCCAGAACTTGCATATGAGCAAATGATGGCTGTTCCATTGTCAACCCCTGGTCTTGCTTTAACTGATGATATGGAGCTTTATCCACCATCTCTTTCCACAAATCTAATAAATTTGATTCCATCAGGTGAGGTCTGTGTATTGTTTAAAAAAAACAATTTGCAATGAAGAATTTACTGGTCTTGCAAAAGCTTTATCATGCAGTTTCCAGCATCATTTCTATCATCAAGGCCACATTTTCCAACTACTGATTGTTCCTCTTTGTTTCTCTCCTTTGCATTCCAATTGCTAGTAATTATCAGTATGTATTGATTATGTGTTTGATCAATTTCAGACTGAGGAAGTTGGTAGGATTCTTCAATTTCATCATCACTGGCTCTATTGATTGTTGTGTAAATTTTCAGTAATAGTTGTATAACAGGTTTTCCTTGTAGGTTTGTGAATATTATCCCATCACAGATAGCATTGTAATGCTCTTTTTGATGGTAAATGTGATGCCATTCTTACTCAATTTGTCATTCATGGCATAGTGAACTATGTGATTGTCAGATTCAGGATGGCCAATACCAGTCCATTTCAGCTCACTAATGTCTAGGATATGGATGTTTATGCATTCCATTTCATTTTTGACAACTTCCAATATCCTAGATTTATGCTTCGTATATTCCATGTTCCAATTATTTTTACAGCTATTTCTCTTCATTTTGAGTTTTGCCCATCAGCAATTGAAGGTCCTGGTGCTTTTCTCCATTCATGTTATTAAGGTCATCTCTACTTTGAGGAAGGCGCTCTGGTAGCATAGTGCTTATGAGTCAAGCTGCTAACCTCAAGGTCAGCAGTTCAAAATGACCAGCTGTTCTGTAGGAGAAAGATGAAGCTTTCTGCTCCATAAAGATTTACAGCCTCGGAAACCCTGCGCGGGGTTACAATGAGTCAGAACTGGCTCTACAGTACATAATAACAACTAACTACTTTGAGGAAGCTGTTCTTCCCCAGTCGCATTTGGAATGCCTTCCAACTTGAGGGGCTCATCTTTCAATACTATATCTGACAATATTCTTGTACTCTTCATCATGTTTCAGTATTCAGTAATCTGGTGCTAACAGTGTTCCACTGCTATTATTAAGATTTTCAGTGTAAATATTTGGAAGTAGTCCATTTCTCCTTATTAGTCTTATTTTGAAAGCGCATGTGAAAGCTGCCACCATATTTGATCCTGCTGCTCATTTAAAATGCCAGTGGCATAGCTTCCAATATCACAGCAACGTGAAGCCACTATGGTCCAACAAACTGACAGATGAGTGGTTCCTAATAAACCCCCACAATTGTCCTGTGTCCTTCGAGAAAATAAGTCAAGATTACCCCTTTAGGATTTCAAAACCTGACCTTCTGAACTAACCTGTCTAACTTGAGTTTATCAGGCCCAGCAGAAGTCACTGTTTCAAGTGCACATTTTTTTTTTTTAAAGGCACATTAAAGAGATTAAGAGGTATATTTACTCAGAGAACTTGTCTGTAGCCTTGCACTCATCACAAAGATAAACTCATAGATATATGAACTGGAAACCTAGTAGCAATACTTTTTGACTTACTCTCTAATTTCATTTGTTTTTGTTGTTGTTAAGTGCTGATGATAATTTATTATTCTTCATTCCTGATTTGGAAATTAAGATTTAGTAGATAAGTAATTTATCCAAAGATATATATTTTTTAATGTGTTAAACCAGGATATTAGCTCATTTTTATCTGACTTTAGTCTTGTTGCTTCTCACCGAAACTGATGATGTAAAATACTTAATATATTTAGGGAAACACAATTTTCAAAATTAAGAGATTATTAGGCTCATTTAAAATAAAGAAACATTGTCTAAATTAAAAACAAGTGTAAATTTAAAATGCTGTAAGTGTATATAGTAATTTTAGAAAAGATACTCTATCTGGAAATTACTTAAAGAGTCAAAATATAATTATATTCTTGAATGTATTATCAGGGTTTTAACAACTGTTTTTCTTATGAATAGGTCCTTAATGTTTAAACATAGTGTGAGCCTTATTATTTGAAATATTGATATATACTAGATCATGTTTTAGTCTATGTTTCTTTTTGTACTTTTGATTCAAAGAAATTCATACACTCTATAGTACATTTGCTAATCTAGAATCTTTAAAACCAGATTATATTAAATAGTTACAGAAGAATTACACTTTGCATTTAGAATTGTAATTCATTATTCTCTCCTGAGTTACATTTCACATGTTATATTTTAAACTGTTACATTTTACATGTTATATTTTAAACTTTATCTGATGTTCCTGGGTTTTAAACAGTTATTTTGTTTGTTTAATTTTATAGGTGGCTACAGTCAACGCCTTCCTAATGCAAGTGCTCTGGGGAAAATTTTCACCGCTTTACCTCTTGGTAACCCCATTTATCAGATGTTAGAATTAAAACTAGCCATGTACATTGATTTTCCCTCCCGTATGAATCCTGGTATTCTGGTTACCTGTGCAGATGATATTGAACTTTATAGTCTTGGAGAATCTGAGTTTATTCGGTTTGACAAGCCTGGCTTTACTGCTTTAGCTCATCCATCTAGTTTGACTGTAGGTACCACCCATGGAGTATTTGTTTTAGAACCTTTTAATCATTCAGAACATCGAGACCTTGAATACAAGTGTTGCTATCGTTTCCTTCATAAACCGTGTATAGAAACAATGCAGCAATGTGGTGCTGTGTTTAAAGCCAGACATTTTTCTCAACAGGCTTTTGCTGGAGATAACACTCGTTCTCTCAAATTAGACTCTGATTATGTCTACACAGACAGCCTATTTTACATGGACCATGCATCAATGAAAAAGTTACTTGCTTTTTATGAAAAAATAGGACCACTGAACTGTGAAATAGATGCATATGGAGACTTTCTTCAGGCTTTGGGACCTGGAGCAACCATTGAATACACCAGAAACACATCAAATGTTACTAAGGAAGAGTCAGAGTTGATAGATATGAGGGAGCGAATATTTTATCTTCTTAAAGGAACTTCACTGAATGTTGTTGTTCTTAACAACTCAAAATTTTATCACATTGGAACAACTGAAGAGTATTTGTTTCATTTGACATCAGCTAGCAGTTTGAAGTCAGAGCTTGGTTTAAAGTCCATAGCTTCTAGTATCTTTCCAGAAATACCAGAGTACTGTGGTAAAACACCTTGTATTATTCAAAGTATACTGGATTCAAAATGTTTGGTGGCACCTGGCTCAGTTGTGGAATATTCCAGATTGGGGCCTGATGTTTCAGTTGGGGAAAATTGCATTATTAGTGGTTGTTATGTTATAACAAAAACTGTCCTGCCTGCAAATTGTTTTGTGTGCGCTTTAAGTTTAAAGATGAGTAGACACTTACGGTATTCAACTATGGCATTTGGAGTGCAAGACAGCATAAAGAAGAATGTTAAAACCTTCTCAGATCTAAAGTTGCTTCAATTCTATGGAGTCTCTTTCCTGTCATGTTTAGATATTTGGAGTCTTAGCCTTACCGAGGAGCTGTTCTCTGGAAACAAGACATGTTTAAGTTTGTGGACTGCTCGCATTTTCCCAGTCTGTTCTACTTTGAGAGACTCAGTTACAACATCCTTAAAGATGTTAAATGCTGTAAAGAACAAGTCAGCATTCAACCTGAATAGCTATCAACTATTGTCTATAGAAGAAATGCTTGGTTACAAAGATGTAGAAGACATGCTAGCTTATAGAAAACACATTTTTTTAGAAATAAGCTTAAAAGAAAAGCAATCTAATCTAGAAACATCTTAAGTACTATAAAAGGGGGCTTCAGAAGTTCATGAAAACATAAAATGAAAAGATAATGGAACTTTTCCATGAACTTTTTGAAACTCCCTCATTGATTCTACCTGCTGTTAATTGAACAAATTCCAAATACAGGAATTTTCTGCAGATTTAAAAAAAAAAAAAAAAAAGTTTCACTGAAGTAAACTAATGAAATTTAATTTAACACCATTCATTGTTCTAGAGTAGTAACACTAATATCCAGAAAATGTGAAAGCCCATTTTTTGATAAAAATTAATATTTCTTTTGACTATTTATTGTTGTTCTTGTTATTGGCCATCAAGTCGGTACTGACTCATAGCAGCCTTATGCAAGGCAGAATGAAATACTGCCCGATCCTAGGCCAACCTCACTATTGTTGCCACGCTAGAGCCAATTGATGCTGCCACCTTGCCAGTCCACCTCTCTGGGGGTCTCTTTCTCTGACCCTCCACCTTACCACACATGATATCTTTCTGTAGTGACTGGTCCCTCCTGACAATGTGTCCAAAGTATCAGAAATGAAGATTGGCCATCCTGGCCTCCAAGGAGCACTCTAGCTGCACTTCTTCCAAAACAGATCTGTTTGTTCTTTTGGCAGCCCATGGCACTTTCAATATTCTCATCTAACACCATAACTCAAAAGCATCAATTCTTCTGTGGTTTTCCTTATTCACTGTCCAGCTTTTGCATGCATATAAGGTTATTGAAAATACCATGGCTTGGGTCAAGCACATCTTAATCCTCAAGCTGACATCTTTGTTCTTCAACATTTTAAAAAGGTCCTGTGCATCCGATTTACCTAATGCAAAACGTCATTTGATTTCTTGACTGCTGCTTTCCATGAGTGTTGATATTTGATCCAAGAAGAATGAAGTCCTTGACAACTTCAATCTTTTATCTATTAAAAATGTTGTTTATTGGTCCAATGGTGAGGGTTTTTGTTTTCTTGACATTGAGATGCAATCCATACCGAAGGCTGTGCTTTTTGATGTTCATCAATAAATATTTTAAGTCTTCAATTTCAGCAAGCAAGGTTGTATCATCTGCATATTGCAGATTGTTAATGAGTCTTCCTCCAATCCTGATACCACAATTTTCTTCATATAATCCAACTTCTCCTATTAATTGCTCAGCATACAAGTTGAATAAGTATGGTGAAAGAATACAACCTTGTCACACAGCATTTTTAATTTTAAACCATTTAGTGTTCCCATGTTCTGTTCGAACAACTGCATTTTGGTCCATGTACAGATTACTCATGAGTACAATTAAGTGTTCCGGAATACTCATACTTCACAATGTTGTCCATAGCTTGTCATGATCCACACAGTCGAAAGCCTTTGTGTAGTCAATAAAGCACAGGTAGACATCTTTCTGATATTCTCTGCTTTCAGCCAAGATCCATCTGACATCAGCAATGATATCCCTTGTTCCACATCCTCTACTGAGTCCGGCTTGAACCTCTGGAAGTTCTCTCTCAATATCTGCTTGGCAACTGTTTCTGTATTACCTTTAGTAAAACTTTACTTGCATGGGATATCAAAGAGATTGTCTGATGATTTCCACATTCCATTAGGTCACCTCTCTTTGGAATAGGCACAAACACAGATCTCTTCCAATCAGTCGGTCAGATAGTTGTCTTCCAAATTTCTTGGCATAGATGAGTGAGGACATCCTTTGCTGCCTCACTTTCTTGAAAGATTTTAATTTTTATTCCATCAATTCCTGGTGCCTTGTTCTTTGCCAATTCCTTCAATGAACCTTGGACTTCTTCCTTAAGTATCATTGGCTCTTGATCATATGCTACCTCTTGAAACGGTTGAACATCAACCATTTCCTTTTGGTACAGTGACTCTGTGTATTCCTTCTATTTTATTTTTGTTGCTTTCTGCATCATTCAATAATTTCCCCAGAGAATCCTTTGACTATTTATTACTACTTAATTTTTTTTCTTTTGTTTAGGATAGATTTGTATAGCATTATGTCCTCATGTAAAGTCCTGGTGTGGTACCGTATGATAAACACTGGGGTTGGAAGTTCAAACCCAGCAGCCTCTCTTTGGAAAACCTACACAGGGTTGCTGTGAGTTGGAACTGACTCAACAGCACTTGACAACAACAACAATGTCCTTAAGTGATGCTTTAGGATAAACACTAGACTGATACTGCAAGGTCACAGATTCAAACCCACCATCCACTCCTTTGAAAACCTATACAAGGTCGCTATTAGTTGGAAACATCTCTATGGCACTTAACAACAACAATGCCATTAGTAGTTTTGAATATAATTTTCTACAAATACCTTTAAAGTTTTCCTCTACTTTTGACCTTTAATTGTAATCAAGTTCTAAGTGATTATTGGTAATTTTCACCACAAATGTAGTCCTGTTTAGATGAACCAATAATAATGACGTAGGGTCTTCAGAATAAGAATAATTTTCAGAAAAAAATCCATAGCTGGTAAATTAAGTCAGCGTGTAATCTAAATCAGATAGCTTGGAAATTAATGTTAAAATTAATATCTCTTTTCTGTTGATCTTACTAAAGTTAAATCAAAAGGGTATAGACATTATTTTCTGCTTCCTGACTTGTGCTTATACATGGAGGGGGTTTCATAAAGTTTGTGAAGAAATGGAGTTAAAGATAACAGAGTTTCCACAAACTTTTTGAGACCTCGTAAAGTTATAATCTATAGGTAATCACATACATGCACACAGTTATTTCTTTGTGGAAAGTGATAGGAATAATTGAGATTTTACTGATAATCATAACTTCATTTTGACCATTACTCTCATTCTCTCCTATGATCCTTTAACAGAATTTATAAGTTACCAGATGAACTGGTTTTATTTTTTGTTCCCTATTTTTGCCCACAGTCTGGTGGTAATGCTGAGGAGCAATAAATGACTAAAAATTAGACAGCAGGAAGGAGGCAATTGAGTGAAAAGATGATATTCGAATGATGAACAAACAGTATGTGATAGTTAAGGTTTTGTGTCAACTTGACTGGGCTAGGATTGTCAGTGGTTTGGCAATTGAGATGTTGTTATCCACATGATGAGATATAATAATGTAATCAACTCTGTGCTGAAGTCCGCTCTGAGCTATCAACTGAAAGGAAGTTTCCTCAGGGGTATAGCCTACTTCCAATATATTAGACCCTCAGGCAAAGCTTGCTTGCTTTCTACTGGGTCTGGATCTTGCATCTGGCTTATTCTTCAGCCTCTGATTCTTTGGATTTAAGCCAGTGGCCTCTATTACCTGCCAATCCTGGAAGTCATCAATAACCTTCCCATCAGCAATCTTACCCATCAAACCTGCCTGCCATCTGACCTGCCGATTTTAGTTCATCTGATGCAGACATGGGACTCTCCCACCTTTACAACTGTGTGAGATATGGATATAAGTTCATTGGTTTTGCTTCTCTAGAGAACCCAGACTAAGACAATCAGTTGCCAAAAAAAAAAAAAAAAAAATAGCTAGAACCCAAGTTATGCATTTATATTGTGATATAAGTACATATGTGAAATTGAAATGTCTTCATATCTAAGTGTAAAATTCGAGACAAGATTTATCAGTGTATTAACATGGATAAATTTTAATAACTTCTTATTATATATATACACACACACATATATATATTATTTTTGTATTAATTTGTCAGCATGAAAATAATTGGTAACCTGAATTACTTATCTGTGACCTTTAATTATGTTGTTTATGTGATTTATTTTTGTTTTGTTTTTTCCTTTTTTTCTCATTTTTGAGGATTTTCTTAAAGACAAAATAATATATGGCGATTATTTTTTTAACATTTATATATCACTGATTTCCAGAGTTTCCAGAGGATGTCATATGGTTGTCATTCATTACATATACAGTACTGTATTTCACCAAATATAAAGTGCTACCAGTAATAAAGAGAAAGCACTGTCAATAAAATATGTCAGGATGTTTTCTTTGTTACTTAAAATCTTTATTGAATAACTTTTTTAAAATTTTTAAGTGAAATACAGAAATAAAATCAATCCATTTGTAAAATTTCATACTGAGAGTCAAATCTTGTGAATATTCAGAGTTGTTGATTCTATGAATTTCCACCAGTAAGTAACCCCTTCTATAGATTCACAGTGTGGCACTGTTGGTTAATGCGCTGGACTGCAAAGTTGGTTTGAACTGCAAGCTCGGTGGTTCAATCTCACTAGCTGTTCCTCGGAAACCCTATACAAGGTCATGAAGGGTCAGAACCACCTTAACAACAATAACAAACCCTTTTATGTAATCCTGTTCAACAAAAGCTCCTTCTATGGATTCCTGGTATGGCTCTGTGTGGTAATGCGCTGGACTTGAGAGTCAGTTTGAATTGCAAGGTTGACAGTACAAGCTCACCAGTCACTCCTTGGAACCCTATACTGTATTGCTATGGGTCAGAATCAGGTCGATGGCACTTTACAACAACAACAACCCCTTCTATGCTCCAAACACACTGATAAAGCTACGTTTCTTAAGAGTGACACATCATCAGACTATATGGTTTTTTTTCTCCTGATAGTTTTCATTCTGATGTTTAATCATTAAACAAAACCCAGTTTGATTTTTCAACTTGGTTGAGTCATATGTTCTTAGAAGGTTGTTGTTATAAAGTGCCGTCGAGTCAGTTCCGACCCATAGCAACCCTGTAGAGGGTTTTCCAGGAGCATGAACCACCGTCCTTGCAGTTCAGACAGCTTTGCAGTCTGGCGCATTAACCCACAGTGCCACACCAGGACTCCTATAAGGTACAAAGTTATTAGGAAGGTCTGAAAAATAACTGCAGTGTTTTAATTAGAATTCTGCACAATGCATGAATTTTAGTTGTTTTCAGTTTTAGTTGTAAGCGCTTCTTACCTTGAGTTGCATTGCTTGGTATGTATTACTAATGGTGTACCTAACTTAAGCAAAAATAATATGCAGTTATGAGCGAGTTCACATAAGCGCAGATAATA